ATAGTACAAAAGGTAAATAGTTATGGTAAAAAGGTAAAAAATCATGGTAAAAAAATGTCTGAATGTTTAATTGGCCCTGCGTATATCATTATCCATTTTGTAAATATATGATTATGAGGGCTGCAAATTTTTGTTATTAATTTATATATGTAAAAATTAAATCATATTTTCGTTCTTTAATTCAGTTGTTTTTGTGTAATATGCTGTTCTTCATGTGATCGACGGAACATCTTTGTTTAGTGTAACGATAAGTGGTCAAACAATTTTATTTGTTTTCTTAAAAATTATAGGCTAAGTTTTATTCTTGTAATCATCTCCATTAATCGAGTCGTTCACGAATCGAGTTCAAGTCGTTTGATTTTGTTTACATATTTTATCTTTATCTTTTTTACTCAAGTTCGAGATGAATATCCTAGCTTATCGAATGAAAACATGTGATCAAGTTAGAATCGTTATTTTAATAAATTGAAGATCAAACAAACTTGTAATAAACAATCTCGACCCTTACATTTTTTTTCGTTTCTTTAAAGTTATTATCTTTAATTTTAAAATTTTAACTTATCTACGATCTTTTTTTTTTTGTTGATTTTTAATATAGTTAAAATTAAATACTATCTATTTCAACAACTATTTCATAACTTTATATCGGCAAAGGGTAGAACCCATTTATATATAGTTGTACAGATAAATCTCTATAAATCAATACAGTCGACACTAACAAAATTATAGTAATTTAGAAAAGTATTAAATTATCAAACTATTAATTTAGCATATTCTTACCCAATTGGGACCGAAATAAAGTATTATTTCTACAAAATTATTAATTTAGCGAATAATTAATCTATTGAGATTTTACTGTAGCTCATTTAATAAATGAATTAATTTTTTTCCTTTAAAACAAATATACATATAAATAAAAATATAATAATAATTAAATAGAAGCAAAAGTCAGCTAATTTGCCCAGTTGAAAATCACGTTGATCTGCAGACTTGCCCTCTACTTCTCAACTCCCCTCTTCACTTTCTTCTCTCCACTGGTAAACAATTTCCTCAATAATTCTTTTTTCTTTCTGGTAATTTGTAATTCTAAATTCGATTGGGTTTCTTGTTTTAGCACTAATAATTTTGATTTGTTCTGCTGGGTCACTTTTTAATTCCATTAATTTATCTGGGTTCTCCTTGTTTTTGTGTGTGTGTGTGTGTGTGTGTGTGTGTGTGTGTGTGTGTGTGTGTGTTTTAATTTAGAATTTGAGTGGGAATTTTAGGGTTATGATCTTCTGTTTTTTCCTTTGAATTGGAGTGAGAATTCTAAATTATGTGTGATGTTTTATGTTAGGGTTTATCGAGAAGAAGCTAATTTCTATTTACGTAATTAATTTATTTTTGTAATTATCTTGTTTTGTTGTATCCTATGGTAATTGACTTCTTGTTTGGTTTGTTGAACTATCAAGAAATGGGTGTTCGACACACGAGATAGCCGATCGAAAGTAAAGTCGGCGGATAACCCTCTTCGTTTTTTACTTGCAAAACGGTGAAGAACTCGTTCGATGGGAGCTAAATTGAGTTCGAGCAATCACCAACCGAACAGCGACGAACTTTCCGATGCCTCTCAAACGGAGGCAAGTAAGAGACAAAGAACGTCGACTACCAACTTTAGCGACGAAAATGAGCGGCTGTTTCCTGACCTCCCCGATGAAATCTCGATCCAGATTCTCGCCAGACTCCCGAGAATCTATCACCTCAACGCGAAACGCGTCTCCACGACCTGGAAATCCGCTCTAACTAGCGATCAACTCTTCAAATTAAGAAAAGAACTCAACAAAACAGAGGAGTGGCTCTACGTTTTAACCAAGAAAACCGAAACTGATAAGCTCGTTTGGTACGCCCTCGATCCAATATCCGGTATGTGGCAAAGATTGCCTCCAATGCCAAACATTGCCTCCACCGAAGATGGAATGAGAAGAATCTGGAGTAGTATCGCTCGTTCGACCGTTATTACGGGTGCTGCTGTAAGAAACTGGCTCTGTAAGAAGAAGAAGCCGCTCGAACAAATCCCGTTTTGCGGATGCTCGATCGGAGCAATCGGCAGCTCTCTGTACGTCATTGGCGGGTTCTCGTGGGCCCGGGCGACGAGCACCGTTTTTCGGTACGATCCGATTTTAAACGCCTGGTCTGAAGCAACTCCCATGGCTAACTCCAGAGCATATTCCAAGACAGCTGTCCTAGACGACAAACTCTACGTTGTTGGAGGCGTCACGCGGGCGAACGGAGGACTTACACCTCTTCAATCGGCCGAGGCTTTCGATCCTCTTACGGGGAAATGGTCGGAATTACCGAACATGCCCTTCTCGAAAGGTCGGGTTTTGCCTACGGCTTTTCTTGCCGAAATGCTCAAGCCAATTGCTACTGGAATGGTTTCGTACAGAGGGAAGATTTACGTGCCGCAGAGCTTGTACTGCTGGCCGTTTTACGTCGATGTTGGGGGGGAGGTGTACGACCCCGAAACGAATTCTTGGGCGGAGATGCCAGCTGGCATGGGCGAGGGGTGGCCCGCGAGGCAGGCGGGGAATAAGATGAGTGTGGTTGTTGACGGTGATTTGTACGCGTTGGATCCTTCTTCGAGCTCTCCCGACAGCGGTCGGATCAAGATGTACGACTGTGGAAACGATTCTTGGAAAGTGGTAAAAGAAGATGTGCCGATTGGTGATGTGGCGGATCCGGAGTGTAAGTATTTGCTCGCGGGTTTTCTTGGAAATTTGCATGTGGTTGCGAAAGATGTGGATAGTAAGAAGATATCTGTTATGAGGGCAAATAAGGAAAGTGGATGTGATTCTTCGATTCCGACTCAATCATTGGCTGATTTGGGTGAATCTTTGAAGGAATATTTTGGGAATATTCCGGTTTCTTCTTCGGAGAGTGTTTGGCAAGTTGTTGGGTCGAGGAGCGGTGGATCTGTAGAGCTGCTTAGCTGTCAGAGCCTTGAAATCTAGCTACCGAGGGATTTTTATTACTCGGGACTCGTTTTAAATTCGAGTGCCTTAGCGTATAACTAAACACCCTTTTGTCTATATATAGTAAGTAACGAGGTGATTGCTGAATTTACGGAGACCGAGTATATTCCGTTTATGAGTGTGGTGCTATGGATGTGTTTGTTGATCAAGGTTTAGTTGGTGCATTCGTTTTTCTTGTTATCTTTTATGACAATATATATATATATATATATATATATATATATATATATATATATATATATATATATATGACTTAATCCCACTTTGCACCCCTGAAATATACCACTTTGGCATTTTGCACCATTGAAACACAATATATGATGCATAGTGCACCCCACGTGAGTTTTTAAAGCTAATAAAAGTAATTTAATATTTTTAGTGGTATTTAAAAATTATGTTTTTTATCACAAAAAAATATTTTACGAAAAAAAATCCTTCATCTATTTCGTTGTCAAGTTATTTTAAAATCAAATTTTCTTCCTAAAATTCCACCAATTACAGTAAAATATCTATCAATCAAATAATTTCATGATATCCGTTTATTTGATTTTATTTTGTAAGTATATATATTTTTTCACAATTGTCCAATGTGATTATTATTATTTCGCACTTTTTGCGCTTGCAATTAAGTTGGCGGTTGAAAAAAATAATAATTTAATTTGTTATTTTGCACTCAGGAAAAAAAACCAATAAAAAATGAATTATACTTTATTATTCAATTACGGGTGCATTCTGAATGATTTATTGTCTTTTGAGGGTGTGTGCAAAGTGGGATTAAACCCATATATATATATATATATATATATATATATATATATATATATATATATTGATGAGGGGTGATTGTAATTACCAAAACATGAGGGAGGTTTCGCAATTTGACCTTACCTCAGGGTGTTGACGTAATTTACCCAAATAAAATCAAGAAGAGAAGAAATCCTTATTCAATTGTGATTGGCTTTTAATCACTTTGATGCAAATATCAAAAAGGAAAATCCTTATTCGATAGTGATTGGTTCTTAATCAAATTGAATGAGTTAAACTCGACCCCGTAAGAAGAACTTGTCCTAAAAAGAAAGAAAATACACAACAATCTACACACCGCGGCCGTATTCTCTATCACACTATTGTTAAACTTTTGTTATGTGATTAGAATATATAAACGATGAGGAGAGAATCATGTTCAAATTGTTTTACATGTTTTAAGTATTTACAAATAAAATTTAGAAATATATTACACTAAGTATAAAGACCGATTTACGATATATCTCCGATTAATCACCGTCGCGCCGATTTATCGTGTGGCGGTCCCTAACCGCCTCGGATCCGATAACCGATATTTAGAACCTTGATATATATATATATATATATATATATATATATATATATATATATATATATATATATATGGCGAATGGCAAAAAGGTCCATCACAAGGGACTGAAATGCACATTGGTCCACAAAAAAAAATAGTCTCCAAATAAACCCATCCCCATGTCTTTAGTCTAAAATACCCTCCATAATATAATTCTTATCAATTCCATCCATTATGCTCTAACTTCCTTAATATTACACATTGACCCCTGATTTAAACAAATATATCACATTAACTTCCAAATAATAATTTTTTTTCTGAAATTCTTTTTTTTCCCGGCCAGATTCCGGCGTAGACTTTTTTTTTTTTTGAAAACTTTTTTTTCTAAATTTTTTTTCCGGCCGGTCAACCGCTGGTCTCCAGCATTGACTTTTTCTGAACAGTAATATTACTAATATTATTGTCCCAAACAGTAATATTACTGTCTGAGACAGTAATTTAGCAGCTAAGACAGTAATATTAATTAAAATAATTTTTTTTAAGAAAAAAATAAAATTTCAAAAAAAAAGTCAATTAACAGTTAAATTACTGTCTCCAACAGTTAAATAACTGCTGAAGACAGTAATTTAGCAACGAATACAATAATATTAATTAAAATAACTTTAAAAAAAAAATATCAATTAACGGTTAAATTACTGTCTCCGACAGTTAAATAACTGTTAGAGACAGTAATTTAGCAGTCAAGACAATAATGTTAATTAAAATGTTTTTTTAAGAAAAAAAAGTCAATTAACAGTTAAATTACTGTCTCCGACAGTTAAATAACTGTTGTAGACAGTAATTTAGCAGCCAAGACAGTAATATTAATTAAAATATTTTTTTAAGAAAAAAAAAAGTCAATTAACAGTTAAATTACTGTCTCCGACAGTTAAATAACTGCTGGAAACAGTAATTTAGCAGCCAAGACAGTAATATTAATTAAAATATTTTTTTATGAAAAAAAAAATTATAAAAAAAAAGTCAACGCCGGAAACCCGGCTGTCAACAACGGTCGACCTACCAAACAAAATTTTAGAAAAAAAAAGTTTTCAAAAAAAAAGAAAAAAAAAGAAATAAAAGTCAACGCCGGAGATCGGCGCTCAATGACCAGCGGTCTCCGGTGGTGGCGGGTCAAAATTGGGGTTAAAATTGAAATTATGGTTAAAATTGGTTAATTGGTGAAATTGAGCTAAATTTGGGTGTATATAATGAAATTGGAGTTGAATTAGGTTTCAATGAATTGAGGGTAATTTTGGTATATATAAAAGAATTTTCCTTATTTGCAAATAAGTTTGAATGAACTGGATTTATTTGAAAGACAAAAAAAGTTGGATGTCCTTCTTTTAGTTATGTGCCTTTGTCATTGGCCTTTTTTAGATTAACCCATATATATATTGATGAGGGGTGATTGTAATTACCAAAACATGAGAGGGGTTTCGTAATTTGATCTTATCTCAAGGTGTTGACCGTAATTTACCCAAATAAAAATCAATACGAGAAGATATCCTTATTTAATAGTGATTGGCTCTTAATCAATTTGATGCAAATACCAAAAAGGAAAATCCTTATTCGATACTGATTGGTTATTAATCAAATTGAATGAGTTAAACTCTTAGCAGGATTTTGTTACCATAATATTTGGCATCAAAACGCAAATATTTGCCTTCCAAGTTACCTATATATACTTTATATATACCCTACTTACGTTCTACAAATCTAAAACAATACAACCCAAAACAATAACAAAAAAAGAAAAGAAAAAAACAATGTCGTCTTCTTCTTCGTCTCACGTACATGTATGCCATGTTTGGGCTGCAAACCTGGAGGAGGAGTTTCGTCACATCGACAAGTGTCTGCATCCCAATTGCCGCCAGTTCACCTTCGTTTCGATGGACACCGAATTTCCGGGGACAATTTACAATCCCGAAGGGGTGCCACCATACATGCGCGCCCCAGAGGAGTTCTATTCCAACATCAAGCAAAATGTGGACGCGCTGAAGCTCATCCAGTTGGGCCTCACAATATTTGACAGGTACGGGAATCTACCCCGTTCGGCGGAACCGGTCTGGAGCAAATTTGGGAATTCAACTTTCAGTTTGATTCCGCCGTCGACCCCCATAACAAGGAATCCGTATCCCTACTCGAAAAACAAGGGATCGATTTGTCACGGAACAAGAAATACGGGATCGACCCTCGCGAGTTCGCCATGCAGTTCAAGTGCTCGGAGCTAGGGCGGCGGTCGTATTATGGCAGGGTGGTTTGGATCACCTTCCACGGGCTGTACGATTTCGCGTACTTGACAAAGATTCTGAATGGCGGGGAATTGTTGCCGGATGATTTAGATGAGTTTATGAGGCACGTGTGGAAGTATTTCAAAGGGAATGTGTACGATTTGAAGAGCATGATTCCGTTCGTCGGACTTCACGGGGGTTTGGAAAAGGTAGCTCGGAGTTTGAACGTGAAGAGGGTCGTCGGAAAAAGACACCAGGCAGGCTCCGATAGCTTGCTGACGATGCATGCGTTTTTTGGGTTGATGAGGAGTTGTTTGGAGAAGGGGGGTTGTGACCCCCGCGGTGTGAACTTGATGGTCGCTGGAAGAACCGGTTTGGAGATGATGCAGACATTATTCGGGTTGTTCGGGTTGATGAAGAGGAATAGCTGCTCCGGTTCGGACGGGTTGCTGATGATGCAGACGTTATTCGGGTTGGATGCTCGTCCCGTCTTTTGACTCACTCGTAATTACCAAAAAATCTCAGAAGTTTGTTTCCGTCTTACACCAACCCCTTACAGTGTAATAGATTTACATGGATTTTTTATTTATTTATTCCGGGGAATAGACTTTTCACGGATTTTTTGTATTTATTCGGAGGAATAGACTTTACACAATTTCAGATATTTTCTTTTATTTATGACTTGTTTAACAAAAGTTATTAACAAAAACCGAAAAAGATTAAAAAAAATCGGAAACACTGAAGAAAACAAAATTCGAAATTTCTTTTTAAATAAATCGAAAAAGATAAAAAGATAAAAAAATTTAAAATAAGAAGAAAAAAACTGATGTATAACAGGGAGAGAAAAAAATTAAAATTTCACAAGAAACATCTTAAAAATAATCGGCGGC